AAAGCTGGCCACACACACTTTCCATAACAGTAACCGTAAGACGTAACGTAAAAATTGACCAATTACGATCGAGTATTCACAAAAATGGTGACCTTATAATTCGACGGTTCTCAACATGATTAGTCAATTCTTACGTTACGTCTTACGATTACTGTTACGGAAAGTGTGTGTGGCCAGCTTGGGTGGGACCCGATTGACCACGAACGATTGGACACAGATTGTAATGATTGGTTCGATCTAGTAATTCACTAGATAATTTTTTTCATCGGTTGGTTGTGTCTAATCGTACCGTGGTCAATCGGGACGCTCCCGGCCAGCTTTAGCCCGATTGACCACGGTACGATTGGACGCAACCAACCGATGAAAAGAATTATCTAGTGAATTACTAGGTCGAACCAATCATTACAATCTGTGTCCAATCGTATCGTGGTCAATCGGGTCTCACCCGCCTCGACGCACACAGTTGATCGCGGAGCGTCTATAGGCCGCGATGAGTGTGACAAACTTTACGCGGTTATTACTAACAAATTAAACGCGTTATCGCTAAATGGAAGAGGACTTTTCTGATCCTCTCGCTTAGCTCTACGCCCCTATGGAGTTGGTGTGTTACAATTATCAGACACCCTATACGAGTTATAGCAGCGACGACTGCTATCGTGTAGTTATACTTTAGGTCAAATTGAACAAAAACGTCCTCTACTATTTTCCAAATAATCACGTAGATTTTTAATTATTAATTAAAGAAGATGAGTGCATTATCATGCAAAATCGTGCAATAATCTTCTTTAATTAATAATTAAAAATTTATGTAATTATTTGCAAAATGGTAGAGGACTTTTTTGTTCAATTTGACCTAAAGTATAAGTACACAACGGCAGTCGTCGCTGCTATAACTCATTTACCATATTCTGCATGATCATTCACAAATTTTCTACAATTAATATCTCGATAATTATTGCGAATACCAGTCCTATACCACAAAATGGTGTAGGACTTTTATGTTCACTGCAACCTGTTCTACGTTCTCACAAAATGCCCAGAGGAGAGTGTGAGACACCCTGTAGTGTGTACACCACACACACGCGCGCGCACGCACACACACACACATTACTCAATTGAAAGTAGAGAAAGTCATTCTTCTGTCGGCAAATTGTTTTATTGATATTTCATACAATTGTGAGAAAAGTATTTAAATAATTTATTCTGCATACTTTACTCCTGAGAGGATTGCAAGTAAATAATAATTTTTTTTAATTATCATGTTTAATTGGCGATTGTCAATCAATGATTAATATGAATAAATTCAATCGAAAATTATCTAATGACCACCGCTGGAATTGTCTTAAACAGAAGGGATTTTAGAGTAGTAGATTTGTTTTCCGGGTTTGAGCCGCGTGGATTTTTTGTTTGATTCCCACGTTTCGCGAACATTTCAGTCCGCTTTATCAGGGAAGAACGACCCGGTTTTAGAGTAATTACAGCGCACGAAAAAATTATAAATTTGATAAAAACAAAATTTAGCAGTTTTTGTTGCCTTATATAGATCCTGTGCTCTAACCATATTATGAATTCGGAGTTTTTCTGAGGAAGAAGAAATGATTTTATTTTGCACTCGTGCACTTATTGCATTGAGACAACTTGCGGTTTTACAATTGATTTGATAAATAATATTCCTTGCTTTCCGGAGCATTATAGTACCGTAGAGGATATCAATGATTGAGAAGCGCTAAATAGGAATCACGTTGAGGGGATATGGATCATATTAATCATCACCGAATTGGCTTTGATTAAATTTCCTCATATTAATCATTAATTAAAGAATATTTAAATTTGCTAAGTTTAATTGTTAATTGAACGACTTTTCATTATTTCTTTCTCTTATATCATCAATTAAATGCTATTAAATGTTTTAATTAAATATAATAAATAAACGTAATAAACATAATAAATAAACGTAATAAACGTACATAATATGCTATTAAATACGTTTTAATTAAATTTGAAATTGTCAATTAAATGATCTTTGATTGAATTTGAACAAATTGAAAAATATTTAATGAAATCAATTATTAAATAAAGGAAGTTTTTACAATTTTGTTTAATACATTCTGTATAACATTGGCTTACTTTATGACAAATATTTCTTGGATATTAAGTCTTTAAATAGACTTTGGAAAAATTATAAAATATTAAATAAATTATAATACAGACATGTATAACTTAAAAGTATTTACATCACAGATTTTTTATAGTGCATAGATTTGAAAAAGACTCAGGACTCTTTCCTTTTTTTGTTCAAATCTAATGTTTTTGGACATGGTTCCAAAACATATTGTTTAAAATTCTTGTGCACGTGATTTAAAGCATCTTGTAATCGATGTATAATATTTATAAGTACTTGGAGCAGTTCATTTGTAGTTTTATTTGCTAAGGCGGTACGAAATTGTGTCAAAAGTGTAAAATCAATTTCTGGAACACTTAACTTCTCAGCAGTTTTTTTTACCATCATCACATCTTCACACAAAGATTCCAAATTAGATTCATTCGTTTTCCTGTAAATTATAGTGATAAATAATATTGAAAATAAAAATTTATAAAATATGAGAATAGATGCAACTTGTATTGCTTTTAATATATATGTCTTTTAATTAATATTTTTACAAGTATTTATATTCATATAATCCATAAAATATATGACTAATAGACTTACAGTTTATTTGTTTCCCTAGAAAGCAACTCAGAACAAATTTCATACAAATCTACACATTTCAAGCTAGTTTTGAGATTGCCATTTTCAAGATATTTCTTAAAGATTTTTCTAGCTTCTGGATGAGACAAAGTTTTGCTGATGTTATCTGTAAGTTTGTCCAGTTCTTCAGGTGGTATATCAACTGTACACTTCCCAATGCAGCCAAATTTTACCGGAACTGAAGTCTGCATACTCAACACTTTAAAAGCCAATTATAAATTTATTATTAAATTACTAGTATTCTTTTTAAATTATTATTTATCAAAGAAAGTTTCTGCTTTTACAGATTCCTAAAAGAAGGCAATAATTATAAGTCAAATAGAAATATCTTGTCAAATCTCACTGAACAAGATTTTATAAAATATACATATACATGCACACACTCAAGTAGGTTTGTGCTAAACCAGCAGAAATAATTTTTACTGTGAATTTTCATTGGCAGTAATAAGTACTAGCAATAATAAAATATATTTTGCTAACAGAACATAATAGTAAATTAATAGCAAAAACGAGTAAAATATTGATCCAAAACTAAGTGCATTTACATAAAACATACAGCAAATGTTGCTTGATATCTGTTGCTAATCTGCAATCTGGCTAGTAGGTTCTATCCATAAATATATAATACGTATCCAATATGCCATACATTTCTTTAAGAAATAAGTTAAATTTTTAGAACAGAGAGAACAATGCTATATTCTCAGTAAATCTCTATCCTTTGTTACGTACGGACTAGAGAGCCTCGTAGAGAGAGAGAGCAAACTCTATCACGTGACCTCTCTCTTCTGATTGGGTGCAGGCATGCATGTAATATTATTATGGTTGCTTTCCAACAAAAGACACAAATCGACACAGGGGGTGCTTCCGAAATACCCAGAGTTGGCTCGAATTGAGTTAGTTCCACTATAGTATACGTAACGGATACTATAGTGGAACTAACTCGACCCAAACCTGGACATTTCGGAAGCACCCAGGGGGTGTTTACGACAATTAGAGTTAGGGTGCGATTACATGAGCGTACGGAAATACGGAAGACAAAGTTACTAGGACTTAACTAGATTTACGTATTTCCGCGCTTTTGTTCCGTAGATTTATTTCTCCTAAATATTACATGGAGCATATTTTATACGGAAAAGTAGAGCGAGGAATTATAAAAAATTAATTGTAAACGATATTTATTGATTAAAATGTTTTATTAAACGGATAAGTTGAAAAAAGAAGCATATTAATAAAAATTGCAATGAATGAAGTAAATATAACTTTTTAAAATGTATACATATATTTATTTATCACTATACCGTTCCGCATTTCCGCACAAATTGTGCTCCATGTAATATTTAGGACAACTAAATCAACGGAACATGTTTACTCCGTTATATATACTCCTTGTGTGAGCGCATACACAAATCTGTGAAAGAAGATTTAAAAACTGTAAAGTTTGGCTTATTACATTTGATTGCCACAAATTTTTGCTTGCTGCAAATATGATTTTAAATTATATGTTAATGGCTATTATCACACTGGTAATATGAGCACGAAAGCAACCAAAGAGGTATACGGAAATAACGATGAAAAAAGTTACAAAATTATTTTATATCTACAATTGTTACAAAAAATTAGAAGACAGACGAAATCGCAGAATGTGGGTAAGACCCATATTTTCTGAACAACGAAGATTGTTACATAACCCTGCATGCGTTTACGGGCTTTTACATATGAATCTCGAAGTTGCCTCCACTTTTGTTTCGCTGATGTCAAAGTTAGCGACCCTACAATTTACAAAATAAATTTTCAATTTTCTTCTCAATTATATACAAGTATGTAAAACTATAAGAAAGTAATGTTATCTTCAAGCGCATTAACTACTTCTTACCATTGAGCCTCTTTTTTAAATTTTGTTCTATCTTTTGTTACAATGGTATGATCCCATAGGCTCCTTCGTGCATGGACCTGATCAATTAAAATTTCGTCTACAGTTGACGAAGAAAATATAATCACTGGGCTGTCCTGAATCATCTCTTCGACTTCTTCAACTTGTTACGCATCTTTCGTTTCATCATAGCTATTTCCTTCAAATATAACATAAGTGTTAAATTATATTACAACTATATATGATATATATATTGATAACAACCCTAATAGCACACGACGTACTGCGTATCATCCCATTTTCGTACTCATTGTACTGTGATCATCTATGACGTATAAGTTGAACGCTAGAACGTCACTTATAGTATCATTCGGTTTTCTTTCGCGCGCGAATGTTCTCAGATTTCACTCAGAGATATGGAAATGATACGTACTCTTTTCTATCGCGTGCGTACATTCTCAGGTTTGACTGAAATGATACGTATGCATTTGTATCGCTCGCGTATTTACTCAGAACGTACTCAGTCGATCGCAGTACATATGAGAACATTCTGAGATGATCGCAATATACGCATTGCGATCTACTCAGAACGTCCTCAGAATGTCCCCGTGCTGTTAGGGAAATAACATATAATACTTGATAAAATATTTACACAATATTTTATGTTATATTTATTATAATTATATTAATGGATGTTACTAAACTAAAAATTAGTGGTAGTGCGTGAAAATTTATTCTGTTAAATGAAAAAACATTCATTTTGCATTATTATATATATATTGCATTTTAATATTGCTATGATATTACAAAGTAATCTTTCCGAGGGCGGACATTTTACCGTTGCTATAACATCATAGTAATGTTACAGTCATATTTCGCAACGTATTTGCAATGTT